TATCCTGGAATAAGCTTAAGCCACAAATTTAACTCCTTGCTTTTAAGTCAGATGGCCACCTTATAAAAGGATAATAAGAAATAGCCTTCATTCATAGTTTTCCATTAAACAGCAATATATGTAAAAGTGCTTGTAACCAGTCATAGGTTCATTCTGGTAGAGATATGATAAGTAACTTTTAGAAACAGATAAATACAACTTGTAAAATACTCTCTAACATACATACACTGACTCCTAATAAATCAGTCTAAGACAAACCCGCATTCCAATGAAGACTTATTCATTTAGTTCTTAAAGAAACAAAGTCGATTGAATGATGACATTGATTTTTTTCAGAACGAGACAGAAAGGTCTGATACGGGAATCTCTATACAACTGTATTACCCCTTCCCCACATAAAATAGTATGAATTATTAGAAAAACAAAGAAATAAGAAAAAAACCCAAACAGGAATTAAAGTTTCATATAGACTGATCATCCAAAAGTTCCCATTTAACCTTATTTTTATTCTCCTTTCACTGCTCCAGAAAATTTCTTAAATATGGACACTGATGTTAATAATTCATCTGGGTTCATAGGCAGTGGAAACCAATTCTCACATTCATATTCATTCTATATGAGATTGATTGAACACATCACATGTTTTTATTTTTTTTGTATAACTCTTCAGATTCAGTAAATTAGTTTTATATGAAAGGGAAACACAAGAAAGATTCTGTTTATAGCATCATTTTGAGCATTTGTAAAAACAGAACTTTTACACCATTGATATGAAATCTATATTGTTGATAATCTCATGATTACTCCAGGTCTTTTTCTTTGATGATGTCACAATGCACATGACATCATGCAGCTCTGATGTCACAATAGAAGCAATATGAATCCTCCAACAATAGAAGCTCTGCAAGGTGGTATTACAAAAAATGTTCACAATGAAAGCTGCTTGCTATGATGGAAGTTGTAGTGCACTGTAGTGTTGTTTGTTATATGTTAAACTGCCTTCCAGGAAATAATTGATATTACAAGCAGGTATTTCCTTTCTATCTTTATACTGGTGATCACCGAGCTGTGTATGTATACTGACCCTCCGTAAGAGTTCCGCCAGGATACAGCCGACTGCCCACATGTCCACTCCTGTACCATACTGACGAGCACCAAATAACAGCTCTGGACAACGATACCATCTATGAAAGATCAAAACCAAAAAGGAAATTAAGGAAAATGCAAGTGTTTTACAGATCATTGTGGACTGTTCAGTGTCTCTTAAGGGATGAAAAATATTGATTACTTTTACAATCCAAATTGCCTTTATATTGATACAGTGTATTGTATAATATACATGTACTATCACCTTACGAAGTAGAACATTAAATTTTGGGTTTGATAAAACACTGACAAAATCTCAAGGAATTCTGCAGCCATCAAGTATTTGGGATTTTCAAAATAATATTTTCATTATTTTTTGGATTGAATTTTTTGTTTTGTCTCATAATAAAGCATAAAAATCTTCACATACCTTGTCACCACTTGATGTGTGTAAATTCTTGTTGGGGACCCGTAAAACTTTGCTAGACCGAAATCTCCAAGTTTAAGTATTCCTTGCTGGTTGATCAGTAAATTATTTGGCTTCAAATCCTGGCGAAGTGAGATTTATATCATTGTTAAAACACATTCCTTGATATTTAATCATGTAATTTGACATGTCTCTTATCAAGTACAACATAAAATATAACACCAGTTCAACATTTCCTTCAACATTTTTCTAAAATATCACCCCAAATCAAAATAAATGATTAGCATTTTTGTATTATCTAGTAACCATTTGAATGCTAGCTACGACCCCCTGAAAATGAATTTTGTTTCTGGATAAATACAATTCTTGATTAACACTAAATGTGAAATCTCTAGAAGTTGTATCTAATTTCTTAAAATTTCTTTTGAAAAATAGCCATAATCCATTTGGTCAAACCACTAAACAAAAACTGCTGTGGTGTCCCTATCTTATCAGTAAACAACAATGACCCTTGTCTATATAACTATTCATCGACTATGACTTTACTGAATGCAATTTTCGCTGTACACTTTATTAGGGAAACACTTACTCTGTGTAATATCCAGTGTGAGTGAAGGTATTCTAATCCTTTTAGAGTTTGTAGGATATAGGACTTTATATGTCCTGGTGTTAGAACAATTTCGTTATCTTTTATAACAATCTGAAAAAGAATCAAGTAAGGTATTATAAAAAAAGATCAGAGAACTTTATGAATATGATGATCAGTTGGAAAAAATGGTGACTAATATACATATACATGAAACATACTAGCTCACATTGGTCTGAAATCAGTCAGCCCTAAGAATGTTACCTTTATATGACAAGGTTACCCTATATTAGTATCTGCCAAGGAGGAGATAACTCTATAACACACTGAGTAGGGAAAGACAACTGGTATGTGTTATGATACTCTTCACTAAGTTACCCTTTATAAGTATGCATCCCATGGATAAAGTTTTATTGATACATGTCAGTAAAATGCCTAGTATTAAACAGGAAAAAATTAACATGTGCTTTGAACAATATTTTCTCATATAATTCACAAAATGATCATAGGGTTGCCAGAGATGGGATAATTCTATAACACGAGGTAGGGAAAGACAATTGGCATGCACTATGATACTAATCTCAATTGGGTAGTGTTGTCGTTTTAAAAAATTGCAATGTCAATAATTTCGACATTTTTTTCTCAAGATGTCATAACAAATAGCTATAGGTTAAATAACAACTTACAATTTGTAATATTGGTAACATTCTACTGACTTAATGTCAAAAGACATCTTAACCGGCTCACACATACAACATAATTTTACTTAAATGATATAGATATTCTTATTTACCTCCAAATCAGTTTCCATAAAATCAAAAACAAGACTGACATTTGATCTGTGTCCAAAGACATCAAGGAGCTAAAAACACAAAAAAATATAAAAGCTATAAAATGTACATTAAGTGATACTGATTGTACTGCAGGATGAATATGGGATACATAAAACTAAAGGCATGAAATCTTACACCATAATTCAGAGTAATTATAACATCACAGAAACAACTCAATAATACAAGTCTGTGAAGCCTTACAGTAACATATTTCAAAGTCATTATTATAAAAATACTGCATTATTACAGTATGACACCCAATCAGTCAAGAGAAAAAAATATTTATATCCTTGCAAAAGAGTTTGGGGGATTTTAACATTCTGGGATAAATTTCTAAATTGTCTCATATTCTGTAAACCTGCCATGCATGTAATTTTCTTTAGAATTATACATTTTCCATCTTGAATCACGAGTCCACAAGCGTTACTTTAACTGACCTATCTTATGACACCCTTTTTGATGTCCTGATCATGACAACAATTTGATACACAGATATAGTCCATGCAGTAATGAATATCAAAATTTATCATAAAATAAATCTCAAGGCACTTTTGAGGAAAAGAGGGAACAGAAAAAATGTCTACAAATTTCCCATAAATATTTTCTTTCCTTCCTTTTCTTAAAGTAGCAACAGAAATACCTGATTTCCCTCAAATCAAGACATCCATTTACCAAAACCATAAACCAAACAACAAACAAATTTTGATGTTCGTTTAAAATTTTTGAAAAAAAATCAAACTCAACAACAAAGTTTTTCTTTAGAACAGATAAAGATTTATGTAAATGACATTAAAGTACACCATGAGAGCTTACCCCTATGATATGTATATGACTCAATTCCTGAAGCAGCTTGATCTCCCGGAGAGCAGTTCTGTTAATGCCATCAGCTACTTCAGCCCGCGTCCCGACCTTAATCTGTGTGGAAATAACGGTAACGATGAGCATGATATCAAATATTAAGATCTTGTTTCAATCGGAGTCAAAATCAAATTACTCTCATACACATATTCACTATTATACATCGTATTTATTTTGTATATTGGCCACTCAAAACATAACCATTTTGGAAACAAGTACATATATATATATCAAACATCATATTTACTCAGTCATCGAGTAAAATCCTATATGGCTAAAAAAGAATTAAAAGGTTGATAATTGCATTTGTTTTACAGACTCTGCTGTAATGATCTTTTCTTCTTTCCTCACAATTTTTGAAAAGTTTAAAAAGTGGTGTGGAATAATTCACTGACATTAGTTTTATCCAGAACATGTCTTATTGCTGTGGGATTTTACTGTCTCCACCTATGAGTGAGATTGAAATTCTGGATAATCTTCCCCGTCAGGTTAGGATCCACCTATCTTATCTCCAAGGATGTGAAAGATTCTATTAGTCTTTTTCATTTAAAATATAAGCAAAGTTAAATTATTCTCAAGCTTGTATTTTTACTAGAATATTTGTTTAAGTTACCAACCTTTTTGACAGCGACGATATTCCCAGTTTTATAATCTTTAGCTTTGTAGACTGTAGCAAACTGAAATTGAAGAAACAAGTCTGATAATAACATATCTACATCAGTTTTAGATACAAAATATACACATAAATATGGAAATTTCATAACTATTTTGTGTTTTTAAGCATTAAATTATTCACTAACATTATTAATCTTTCAAGAGAGCGTTATAAAAAGGACATACTTTTTGACGGATACATAAACTGATTAATGATGTACAAGTGTATATGTCTGGTGAGAAACAAGCTAGATTACTATAATATTAAATTTTAATAATAAGTTCTTTTCTATTTTCATATGTATCAGAGTGATATACAGTGGGTAGTTAAACAATATGATATGCATTATCATTTCTTAATATCTCTTTATGGCCTTTCATAGGATTGTATCTCAGAACAAGATTTTTCAAATGTGTATCAAGATTAATTTCAAAATCTTTACTCATTAGCAATGGAATAACATATTCTTGGAGTCTGTTCCAGATTCCAACAACCCTACAACTACATGAATATTGTTGAATTTCATCCTTGCGATAAGTTGAAACTTTCACAATCTTTTAAGAGCATAAAACTGACATTTTCTGATGTTGACAGGTCGTGAAAACAAGACACGACAGGAAAAGTTTTCGGCTCACTTTTCAATATTGTTGTTTTCCACCTAAAAAAATACTATTCTTAAACTTTCTGTGTTAAAGCGTATGTATACGTTACTAGGAAAACATATACTTCTAAATAATAATTCAAAATATACCTGTCCTTCTCCTAAGAACTCTATTTTCTCATAGCGAACTTGCTTTTCTTCCATTTCGCGTTGATGCCCGTCGCGGTCTTCTGTGTTTGTTAGACGCTTACCGTAGCACTCCCTTGCGTCTGTACTAAACATTCATTTGACCCATGAGATTTCGATAAACTAAATAAAGAGAGCATTCAAAATTTCCGGAATTTAAAAAGCGAGTTGAAATTCATTAGAGGATCCGCAATGTTTTGCTGGAACCGTTTATGAAAGCAATGAATATTTTCTTAATTTTATTGATAATTGGGAGCATTTATTTTCATAAGAAAAAAGTGGTTTTCATTACCTTACATTTCTTTTGTGTATCGGTTCAGAAAGTTCGACCACAGAACATGTTCAATCATGGTAAATGCATATTGTTTAACGATGGAATCAAAATGATATACATTGCCAAAGTTTACACTTTGTATTATACGTCCCTGATACGACATAATTTAATTTGCATGATGTGTCAAGACAGGGCGGTTATATGTCCCGCAGGTGCATCTGCCACCGCACTGTTGTATTCAGATTCAGAGGAAAATGATGAAAAAAAAATCATAAAGCTCTTGATAATACCACGGACTTATATACATATGTGTATATAAGTCCGTGATAATACCAACACGGACAACATGCTTTAACGAGGAACCGGAAGCGTGTTTTCTGTGATCAGTATTTTGATCCCTTACCTAAATGATGCTTAAAACCGCATAAACTAAATTTTCGTGAGTAACATTGATTTGTAAATTTGCTTTGTAACAGTTGTGGAGAGAAAATGGATTAAAGAGCTTTTATTTCATTACTGATTCCATCTAATTACATTTACACATGATAATAAAACCAGACAGAACTTTTTTCGGAGATACCCAGGAAACTAATGTCCGCCAATGACGGCATATCCAGTCTGCACCAGATCTATGCCTGTTAGTTAAATCAATGATGATCCTTATGAAATACAAGATCAATATTGCAAAATAAAATTGCTTATTTCTGTATACACAATAACTCGTTAGATTAAGTTGCATATGATAAATAAGATGTGGAAACCGACTTATCAGGTTAACATTGGGCCTTTCAGTGTATAAAGGGGCGTAACTCTTAGAAAGGATATATATCGGTCGCATGTGACGGTATATTGAGTGGTTTCTGCACGATATTGGGGATTTTCTTATACAATAAAAATGTCAGAAGTATCACGTGTTATTTTTAACAATAATTACTTAATATGTACGTAGTGTTGGGTAGTATGGACAACAATGTCAAAATTACATTAATATTGGTTGATACATGTATTGGGTGTATAGATGTTGGTCGCGTATAAATTATATTATCCGTGATTTTTTCCTGATGTTAGCAAGTGCTCCAGTAATACAAGATGGCGGGAATCTGTCATGTAAACACATACAAGCATGTTTCCTGCTAAAGATTGATTTTCTGGTGTTGTGTTGAAATAAATTAGATCTAGTACATCTAACGACCAAGAACAAGTGCATGTCATGTAAATGAATTTGTCATGATAAGTCTACTGGACTGCCATGGACGATCACGGAGAAGATTTCGAGGAAAATGAAGACGAAAGCTGGAGCCTGCCATTCAGTGGTGACACACCACATCCAATTTCAAGTATCGACGTTGGAAGTCCAGGAGGGAAGGTCATCACACAGGAACGGAAACTCAGCGGACATAATCACATGCTGTCAAATTATGGTAAAAGTTAGATGTGTGGCGTGTAATCCTAAAAGTTTCTTCAAACACACGTAAAACCGTGTAAAACACTAAAATAGTCAATTCCACAGATTTTGCCAGAATATTTGCCTTTTTAAAATTATTATACGAGAACATAGATTCTATGAAAACAAGTAAATATATTTAATAGTTTTGTTTGAAACAGAATTCCTCAATTTATTCATTTGTATACCAGTTTAAATTAACCAGAACAGAAATCTTCGTTTATCATTCATTAGTATAATATTGATATTTTGTTGTCTTGTGAAATACAAGGAAGATACACATGGTCATGACAAAATATATTTGAGTATTGTGAATATGAGATGGGGAGCTGTCGATTTTATTCAAGATGATAACCTTTATGTTAATTTTACTTATATTCAAGGTCACTATTCACAGTTGTTTCTTCAAAGATCCAAGTTTAGACAATGTAAAACCTACGTATCCATATACAGTAATCTCATAGAATTTGACCAGTACATGTAGGTGATGTGACTAAATATATTCAATCATAATAAATCAACTTGTCGTGTTCACATTTTATTATCATGATAACAAGTTTGTCAGTATATTCACATAAATGTACATGGCATGCATAACAAGACCAGTCATTCTACATCTTGTACTGAATATCCTTACTAATTCACAGCTGTAGATGACCATTTTACTTAAAAAGCCTTTGCTTAGTTTGCCTTTTGATACATTAACCTATTTATGCAGTATTAAGCCTAGGGGTACACTATGACTCAATCCAGTGGACAGGGATGTTCATTTAGGGGTCAAGGAGCCTTGGGCCACTCATAACTGAAACTGACCCTTCCTTTTTCCCAGATTTTACTCAGGGTGGCCACCTTGTTCTTGATGGATTTTGACATAAAATTCTAAAAACTAAATGACTCATTGCTGTCAGCTCCCAGAATTTTCCCTGCGAAGACCTACGGTATATTTTACAGAAATATCAATTGTTACATGTGATGTACATAGATGGCCTTATATAATTATTACCTTATCAAACAGGAGATGAATGCACATTGAAAGTAGGTTAATGATGAAACAATTTTAGATTGTGATTTGAACATTACAGGTGATTTATGTGTCTCAGCACTGGGTCATACAAGGACTATCATCCACATAGATATTGACTGTTTTTATGCCCAGGTAGAAATGATGAGAAACCCAAAATTACGAGACAAACCTCTAGGTAAGTACAGGTTTTAGATGTAATTATTACACATCACATTCTTCTAAATTTGATTCTGTGAAAGATTTTGTTTCCCTGGTTTATCGGCGTGTGAACAGCCAATGTCATTATAAGACAAGGTCTTCTTGTAGTAGATGGTGGCTGTCTCACTGAATAACATATGGGAGGTTCATTGCATGCCCTCTAGAACAATTAGGATAAAGTGTTTAGCCAAAGGACACAACTTTGTCGCCATGTACTGGTCTGTTTTTAAGCTTCTATGTAAGACCTCTATGACATGTAGCTCTGAAAATAATGACAAATATTCATGAAAGATCAATTTTTTTTCTTTTGATATGCCAATCTGTTAATAGTCAAGGTTTATTGAGTACAGTATGCATTTTAACATAACAGGTATTTTGAAAAAAATATGGTTAATGTTTCAATGCTTAAAGTAACTTGTTATATTTAAATGGTTTATTTAGATGTATAAGATGATTGAAAAATGGAAATTGTAAAATATAGTTAATGTCTTTTACACAGAATAAGATTTCAGTAATTATGCTTCATAATTGTCCAGATGAAGGACTTGTGAACGTGTACCAGGTATTGTTTGATAGATGGAAAGATGGTGTTTCATGTGGATCTACTACTGGGGTAGATAATGATATGTTTGTTTAAATATGTTGGAAATTCATATGGTTAATGTTTCAATGTTGATATGGTGTGTATGGTCAGGTATCCAGCAGAAGTATATAGTCGTGACCTGTAACTATGTGGCCCGGAGATATGGAGTGACCAAACTCATGGGTATCAACGAGGCTCTGGATAGGTGTCCAAACTTGGTACTGGTCAAAGGGGAAGACCTAACACATTACAGACAAGTCTCCTATAGGATATCAGGTAAGTTCAAGGTCAGTTCTATCTACAAAGTGTCAAGGTCAACTGTGTCCAAACTTGGTACTGGTCAAAGGGGAAGACCTAACACATTACAGACAAGTCTCCTATAGAATATCAGGTAAGGTCAAGGTCAGTTTTACAAAATGTCAAGGTCAACTGTGTCCAAACCTGGAACTACTCAAAAGGAAGGATCGCACACTACAGAGGTGTTTCTCATAGAGTATCAGGGTAGGCTAAGGTCAGTTTTTCAGGATGTCACTTGAAGGTCAGATGTGTCTTAATTGGTGCAACTAGTTTTCAATTATCAACAGACAACTGACAAGTGAGGCAAAATTCTATGAGGTAGTGAAGAAGGATTAGCCTCTTTTAGACAGGTTTCAATGTAATATCTGCCACAATGACCTTAGGACTGAATGCTTGCTAAGGTAAAGTTTTTTTTCTGAGTCACATGGAGGTCAGATTCTACTTAGTATTTCATGTACCTGGTTAGCCCAGATTGAGATCTTTTGGGGCTGATAGAAATGGCTTGCAAATGAAAAAATATATATTTGAAGCATTTATACCTGTTTTCAAAATAAGTTATGAAAATGGACATTTTCATGGAATTTCCTCTGCCTTCTATACCAGTTGTTAGACAGTTTGATAGACAAGTGACTGATGTCTGGTGTAAAAGTCAGAGAAAATGTGGGTCATTTTCTGAGAAATAATCATTTATCACTGCTTATTTGTTAATTGTCTTACAGCATGTCCTCATAAAGTTTTGAAGTTTTAGCTAAAAAAAGATGCAAAAAATGACATGCTAAACCAATGACATTAGACTGAAGAGACTAAATTTTAAAGAAGAGGCTGTTTTTTTTCAATTGGTAGAGTTCCTTCAGCAGTACACACATCATGTAGAAAGGCTGGGCATGGATGAGAACTTTCTGGATGTTTCTGACCTTGTCAAACAGAGGCAGGAGTCGGGTCACAGTAGATCAGATGTCATGGGTCATCAATTCCTACTGGAACAAGACAACAACACTCTGGAAGATGATAAAGGTGTGTTTGACCTGAGATGTAACAAGTATATGTAAGATTTTGTTTTCATAAATATTGGTTATAGATATTTCATGAAGGATTATTAAACTGCTAAAGTAGAAAGGATTTGAAAGAGAGATTTACAGCTGAAAGAAATTTACAGATTCTTCAATTGACAGAATTCATGGTTAAATTCCTTTATTAATCTATATAATTTTGTAATTGCATAAAAGTGAAAAAAAAATAGTTGAGATACTTTTGCACATTGACAAATTAGATAATTGGTTGATGAAAGTAAACTTCCTTGTCAGAAAGATATTGTGGTGATATGCTTGATATGGTTCCTTTTGTAAGATAATAGGAGCATAGAAATGACAAATTTCAATGTGATGTGTATATGTGTTGTTTACTTACAGGTAATGTATGTCGTTTAACGGTCTGTAACTGTGGATGTCGTGAGCGACTGACAGTGGGATCACAAATTGCTGCAGATATCCGAGATGCCCTGCATCAGGAGCTGGACATTACTTGTTGTGCTGGTATCTCCTACAGTAAACTCCTGTCGAAACTTGTGGCAGGAAAACACAAACCTAACCAGCAGACGACACTATTTCCTGAGCAGACAGCCAAATTCATGGCCACTGTGGGACAGGTCAGAAGAATACCAGGTATGTTATAAAACTCTATTAAATGAGATATTTCAGATTAAGTATTTGTCTTTTGAAGTTGTGACCAATTAACAAATCTTTATTTTCTTCCACAAGTAGATTTTTGGCATCATAGTGTTTGATTTGCTTCTGTCAACCTGCTGAAATGCAAATGTTATGATGTTGAAGCTGATTAAAACTCTTCAGGTCTTACATGTTATTAGTTTATTCATTTTGAAAGAAATAAAATCCAGTTTTGGTGTCAAGTGTTCAGTCATATCTCATTTTAAATGTATTTATGAAATGCATGGAATACTAGGTGTGTGCAGTGAAGGCCCATTTGGCCTCTTGCTGAGAACAAATCATTCAGTTCTCTGCATATAATATGGATGAATTTTCCAAAATCTGTCTTTGAGAGTAAATTCAGTAACTAATAGGTGACATTCTGTTAATCACCATTTATTCATATTGAATCGCAAACTTGGCTATGACTCCAGCATTTAGCAAATGTATATATATATAGATAAGAGGACAAGTTAATGTCACATTTCACTAAAAAATCAGTGAGTTTCTAGAAGTTTGATTATCAGGAGAATAATGTTAGGATCTGCTTATTATTCAGAAATTTGCGGATTTCTTTCAGGAATTGGCTCCACAACATCAAAGAAGCTGGCAGCTTTAGGAATTGTGACACTGCAAGATCTTCAACAGTTTGACCTTTCTGTCCTCAAACAGGAATTAGGACCAAAACAGGCTGTTGTCATTCAACAGCTGAGCTTTGGAATAGATGACAGCCCTGTCGTTACATTTGGCAGACCCCAGGTAAGAATAGTTGTACATTTACCGGTACAATATTTGCTTTGATTGTCACAGCCATTTTTTTATGATTACCTTCATCCTTTTCCATATATTGTTATTGTAAATTCAAAGCTTGTTTTCATGATGTCATTTAGAAACTATGATCACTACTTTTCGAAATCATACTTTTATCCTTTGCCAATAATTCCACGACAACTTACAATTGATTTACTGTGGAGCTGTTTGATCCTATCAACATACAATTGTATCCGTTTCATTAGATTGATTATGGGTGAGTAATACTTGGTGACTTTGAAAAAAGGTTTGGGATTGATCCTTGTAGATGTAAACAAAGAAAGTCATGCATTCACTTAAATAAGATAAAAACTTCAAACGTTTTATTTTGAAATAGATGTGTTTCATTTTATCTTTGAAATCAAATCATTTGTATGGAACAATGTAATTATTACATGTATAAAATGTATGAAAAATAAGCTTGTTGGGTGATCATCAACATCTGGAGTCATTTTGAGGCAGAGTTGGTATAGATATCAAACCACATGCTGGGGAAGTTGTATTTGTTGATGGCCTACCAACTGAGCTCTGATTTCAGTAAAAATTGCACTTAAGTTATTGATCTAAATATTCTTTTTTATTATGGTACATGTGCTGTGTTCATGACCCTAAATGACAATGCTTTAATTTTGATTATGGTACTATGTTCTAGACCATCAGTGACAACTTTTTTTTATATCATAGTACTATCTTCTAGACCCTCAGTGATGACATTATCTATGATTATTGTACTGTATTCTAGACCCCCAGTGATGATTTAATTTTTTATTATGGTACATGTACTGTGTTTTAGACCCTCAGTGACAATTTAATTTTTTATGGTACATGTTCTGGGTTCTAGACCCTCAGTGACGAGGACTCCTTCAAAAGATGTTCAACTATTGAAGATGCTAGATCGAAGGTCAAGGAACTGCTTACAAGCCTGACTAAAAGGTACAGTAAAAATTAACATCTCTGGGCTTACAGTTTTTCAGATTTCATGATTTTGTTGTGAATTGGTGAATCATTAATCTTTCATGTGTTAGTACTGACTCTGATTTATTTGTGATTGTGCAACAAGTTTTAAGAAATCAAGAAGGGCAAAAACAGGATCAGAAGATCTTTTGGTCTGATGTAAGGTAACGGAGATGATGGCAAGATTTTATGTCATTAATGGTAACTCTTGGTGCAAAGGTAAATAAGTTGTTTACAACTCTAACTACAACCATAAGCAGCTACAATGTGTTAGTACAATATGAATAAATTAAGTCTACACCTTTAGCTTATATTTTTGGTGCTTTTACAGATTACTTGATGATGGTCGGACACCCCAGACCCTAAGACTGACCATCAGGAAACTGACCACTGCTGATAAAAAGTGGACAAATCGAGAGAGTCGTCAATGTCCAATTCCTGGTCACGTGATGTCTTCTCTATCCTCTGGTAGGTATCGGCCGTAAATACTGAGGTTAGAATTGTAATTGTATTTATGTTCGGAGACTGAGGCCATATCTGTTTAAGGAATCTTAAAATTCAATTTATTTTTTGCACCTATCGTAGTCAGACTACAGATCTTTATCTACTGACAATTATATGAAATCTGTGAAAGGGATGAAAATATTATGGTCAATAAATTGTTTATAATTTTGATAGATAAACTTGGGAAGTCTTGTTTCTAATTTGTACAAATAAACTTCGAAAAATGGTTTGTAATTTCCAGAGATAAATTTTGGCATTCTATTTTATAAAAATTGTACAGATAACTTTAGTAGTTCTTGTTTCAAATTTTCACAGATAAACTTGTTGATTCTTATTTCTAATTTCAACAGATAAACTTGAAAGGCTGATCGATCACTTGGAGGAGATCACCATGACACTTTTCAGCAAGCTTGTCAATATTAAGGATCCCTTTCATCTTACTCTTATGAATATTGCATTTTGTAGTCTCGTGGAGAAATCCAAAAATGCTATAAGCTCATTCTTTACCGTCCGAAGCCCTAGAGACAATGTGGATGATGTACGGAAAACCAGAGAAACAGGACAAAAGTCGCCCATTACAACTTTAAACAAAGGGAAACAACAAAATATTCTTCAAAAATGGGTTCTTAAGTCTCCTGAAAAATCCAGGCAACATAGTCAGGAGTTATTTGGTGACAAACAGGATGATGGTCAAGTGAAGGAATCAAGGTCATTTCTTGGTTGTTCATTGGTTCAGGCTCACTTGGTGAAGAAAACTTGTGGGGAATCTCACACAACAACAGGATGTGTTAGCAGTGATTCTGTTGAATTACCAGTAATATCATGCCGGAAAAGAAAACCTGAGGAAAGCATTGAAGAAACAAGATCTCATAGCAGTAAGAGAAGCATTGGTAGAAATGTTGATGGAGGTAATTCTTATACAACTCCCAACAGAGTGGACTGCTCTCTCGTGGATAGAAGAGGCCCAGAGACAAAACTGACGCTCCCAAATGATGTAGATATGGAGGTTTTTCTTCAGCTTCCTAGAGATATTCAAGGAGAAATTTTACAGGAAGCTCAAACAAGAAAAGATGAAATAGAATTAAATAGCACAGGCAAAACACTGAATGCAAACAGGGACATGGAGTTAAATAACAGTATTGTGGATGGTTGTTCTAAAAGTTGTGTAAAAGACCATGATGAATTCACATCTCGGAATAGAGGGGGAAAAACTTTGAGAAAAGACACTGAGGTACTTCCCCAGACATTTTGTGTCAGTTCAATTCCTTCCGACATTCAACATGATCAAAGTAAAGGAACAAAACCGAAAGAAGACAGAAAGGAAGATTTTTCAAGTAACCAGTTAACTAGTGAACATTTGTCTTCTGTCTACATTGTGAACATGCATAGTTGTATCAATGCTGATCGGTCATTGGAGTCAGAAAATGTGATAAAAACTGAGTCTATTGTGAGTACTACAGAGAAACGAAGCAGAGATATATTGCACCTGAAAACAAATGATGAATCGCGATCGGAGACGAATATTTTCGAGAAGACTGATTATGATGATAATATTGATGTCACAAATAGTGACAGTTCTGTCAATACATATCAGTTGCCACCCCACATTGATAAGGAGGTGTTTTCAAATTTGCCTTCAGAGATACAGAATGAGTACATCAGTCAGTGGTCTAGAGTCCCTATACCTAAACGAAACTCTACACAAACAATGTCACAAGATAGACATTGTAACCCTAAACACAAACCTAATGGTGGAAAATCAAGTATTCTAAACTTCTTTCAGTCCAAAAATAAAAGGTGATTCATACTTTTGTGTCTGTTTTGTTGTTTTTGTTTAATTTTTTTAAGTCTTCACCTGTTTTTGGAAATCTAGATGACAGGGAGAATTTTCAAAAATGAGATTTTATGTATAGGACATAAGTTACAGTTACAGATGTTGAAGAAAGATATATCTATCGTAAAAAGATTGTTTTTTTTGCGGGGTGATGTTCAGGAAGTTTACGTTGAGCAGAAGTGTGTTGCTGAATTGACTTGCATTCAATAGATGTCTGCTGAGTATATTTATGGTCACAATATTTATGTTGCTGAGCAAAATTGATGTAAAGCAAATGGATATTGAGTAGATACATGTCGAGTCGATATATATAGGTTTATGTTTAGTATAATTGTGGTGAGTAGTTTTATACTTATTTGGTTTGTTTAGTTACGTCTAGTAGATTTACGTTATCAATTCGTATGTGATGAATCACATGGCATATATTTGTATTTATTTCTTTTGACAAATATTTAAAGTCTTGTAGTGTCTTCTGTCCATTAATACGGTTTTAACATTTCCTTGTGTCACGAGGCAAGGATCCTTTAAACATTAAAAGGTTTGTTTTGACGTAACTGAATATATCAGTTAAATACAGATATCCCAGTCATGATGTACTCTAGTGTATGAACTGATTTATATGGCATAGTTATAATCAAAGGTGTCTAAGCATATGTACTATTCTATGTCATATCTTATTCAACTTAATATTTTTAAAACCTTTTCGCCAATGATCTGCAGCATGTAAGTTGTATACAAAACACAATGTTGATTTATTTTACATTGAAGTAAAGATATGGACTGTGAACTATACAAGTAATCCAATTTTGTAATTCATTCAACGATACAAACAGATATAATTATACTGTGATTGAAAGTGTTGGTGTTGTCAACGATCTAGTACATCTAAGATATCAATAGCTTAAAGCTCTTTATCTAACTCATTGCAAAAGACGCATTACTATATATCACCTTCAATCACAAATTCAGAAAAAGGGTTGTTGAAGTTCCAATACAAACATAGCATATTCTGACTACATCATTATGAATGGATTACAGATAGTTACATGGTCAAAGATGGAAAACAATGGCATTTTTATGTCGTAAATATTCTGTTTAATTGGCTTATCATGTTTGTTCTCGTGTATACCTCGTATACCTCATCGACTGGCTGATACATGAACAAGATACTAAGTTATAAACCATATATTTCCTGATGTTTAAATGTTAACTTAGTCACAATACATTTTCGTTTTAAATTACCGAGGAGTCATTTGCCAAGAGATTTTGTGACTGAAAAAAAGGACTAAGAAAACCAAATGCATGACATCAAGAAAGAAGGACAATGTCTATTTCTACAGTTACTTAATGAAATCACAATGTATTCGGTATTTCGTGAGCCATTTGATTAAACGAAATGCAGTCAGTGATACTAATGATATCAACTACATTGAGGGTAACCTATGTTTTTTTGTATGTCAGATTTCACGGTTGATAAAAATATGAAAGGAAGAATGACAAAATATTCTGCATACTTTACTATTTATACACTAACGTCTAAGGGGTATGTGGTATGTGTTCAATTGCACGGAGTATCATCTTTAAAGGGACACGGAATTGAAACCATGTCGATGAGCTGGTAATTGTTCCAATTTGGGTCCTTTCGTGAGTTTTATCTTTGCTTTTGCCGTGTCCTTGTTTGCATTGTGATTTAACATCACCGTTTTTGCTTGCTTGTAAGCTTATTTTTTATTTTGTTTGGTTACATTTTTTTAAAGTTTTTACTGTATATTCCATCGCTTCCGAATTCCAATGGTATATTCATACGGTGATCAATCTTCTGTGAACATGTTTGTTTCAACCTAGTTTGACTGGTGATGTTCATGATTTCGTGTGAATCAGGGTGTAGCAATTTCATTAAAACCTCCATCTATTGTAATCTGTCTAAATCAAACGCCAGGGCCGAAAATATTATGACAAAATAAACATGTTACGTGACTTTATCGTCAAGTGAGTCGTATTTGTGAGGTTCCTTACGGGGCTGTAAATCCATAGAAACGTCAGTACTTTCTAATGATTTGCATTAAATTTTCGTCACATTTCGTTATGCCTTCTTGTGTTGTAAATCAACACAGGTAGACCACGCTGGCTTTGAGAATTGCATATACCTGTTACAAATTAGATTAACTCGAGCTTTCTAACTCATATTTTTAAAACAAAACTTTGCTATTTGATGGTAAAATCACAGTTTCCCTAGAAGATTAACGAACGTCTCTTAACGACATAATGATGCATCCCTATAGATCTAGAAGCTGACTTGATGAGTCTATGTACAGGATAAAGACAGTGGTTGGTCCATTTTTAAATAATCTCGATGTTCTGTTCATTTTTGAAAATTTAAAGAAACTTATTGAGAAGTAACGATCATTGGACACAATAACAGGTATTTTGCGGATGATTGCGCTTCAGGATATGTAAGTTTGTTTCACAGATCTTAGGGTAAATAATACGAAACTGGAATAAGATAATGATGTTGTCTAGTCGTGTTGTTTTCCCAGATGTGTTCCTGGTATTATCAATAGATATGTACAACGACAATATATTCAGAAAGGTAAAGAAAGTTATGATGGGTAACTTACACAAATAATAAAGGTTGTAAACTGTGCTTTATATATAACACACATTCGTTTCTGACATTTCTATAGATACGGTTTTTCAAAGTCGCCTCTAAGGTTTCAACATTTTATGCCTTTGGTATCATTGACGAGTCTTACAATGACGAAATTCATTATTAGGTTCTATTGTAGCGTATTAGAAGTGTCATTTGAAAAATTAATGACTCAAAGCTGGAATCAATCAACAAATATCAATAAACGATAATGCGATGAAACAATTGACTTCACGTGAAACAGGAACATGATTTTTCTTCATAATAAAGATATTTTTCTCTTTATGCTATTTTTTGGGGATTCTTTTGCTCCACGTAGAAGTAGTTATGCATTTAAAGTAACTGATTTTTTTATTTTATTTTTTACTTAAAACTTGAATTATTACTTTCGTATATAATTACATATCATATGAATTGCTGAATCATTACTTGTTTTAAACGCTTTGTTAAATTGTCAAATACGTTTTCGTCTGTTTTAATTACGTTTACCCTTATGGATGCTGACCAAGATTTAAAAGGTGGGTGTCGTCGATGGAACGAAAACGTTCGATGCATCTTGTCTTGGCTTCCTTGTTTCCATGGTATCTATGTAAATGTTTCTTCCTTGCTTTATCAAGTTTGACTTTGTATTAAGGCTTTGTTATTATGTCGGTATTTTGATTTTGTGTTTATACAGGTTAATTTTCAAACGGCTAAAACTCCAATTATCCAATCCAATGACAAACTATGTCATGTGTCAATCAACTACGTCATAGATGACGTACTTGAAATATTCACTTGAATACTTGCGAATTATAATAAGATTATAATGAAAAACAAATTGTTTTTATTCATACAAAGGATCGGTTTATGACCGGTCAGACTTCTCAATGTTGCGCAGCAGTGCAGAAACCAAGTCCTGCAGATTCTACAGCTCCTTCTATAGATGAAAGGGGATCATCGGAAGGCGGAACTGTACCGGGATGTAAATGGAAATGCTCGCATACTAGACCTAAAAGGATAGAGATAAACATCTAACACACACAATGTACACAAGTATATATTACCTCATTACATAGATACAATGTATTACGCTTTCATTATGGTTCTCGTGAGAAGAAATCCATCATCGTCGAAGTATCACAAAATCATAATGATTATACAATTAGAAAAAATATCGAAGAATATTATAGTACGATGTGACTTACAAAATTGCATTATTAACCAATACATTTTAATAGTTTACTAAAAAGTATGTAGTTGTTACAAAATGATACATCTGCATGTTTACAGCAGAAATGAACACGTTGTGATAGAACAAGACACCGTAAAGTCATATATTACGTGGTTTGCAATTTTTTGCCTTGTCAAAGCGTAGTCTTTTATCTTACTAATAGTAGGAATGTGCCTCATATCTTTAACAAAGTATCAATGCATTGACGTATGGCTAAAATTCCCATGAAATTGATAAAAATAAAAGCCCACGAAAACAAATGTTTTTTTTTTCCGGTAGAAAATAAGTGTATATTTGCCTTGAGCGCATCCACATTTGTAGACATATGCATGGTGTCCAGGACGATGACACGGGTCTGTGTCGTTCTGGTAGTAAGCGCAGTAGTGACCCCGAAAGTCATTAACACAGCACTGAGACGCTAGACAATCACTGTTGTCTGTACATTCGTTTTTCTCAAACAAAAGTCCCTTTATGGTAAAAAAGAATAACCAACAAAATGTATTAAAATAAGCATTTATATTTGTACTTAATTATTTCTTTAAATACATGTAAATTGAAAACAAAAATCTTCATTATACCACAGATGGTATTTCTATCTTCACAAAAGCGTAGCATCATTGCCGAATCCTTATTCCGACGGAAGAACTGTATGTTGTACTTCTAATTCTAACTGTGTTTTGTACTACCACATCCGCCAAAAGCTATAACGTCAGAACGGTACATGAACAACAGAAAGATTTTCGAGAAGATTCTTGAAAAAATGATAGGAAAAGAAAACCCTATTTACCTGAAGGGTCAACCTCATTTGACATACGACTGCTCTAACTATTATAATCTAGATCGGTCCAATCAGTTAGCCCGGTGCTAAGTCTCATAACCAGTTTGATAATAACTAAACCACTAGACGCATTAACGAGAATCGAAAAAAAGTTGGTATTGGTACCTCACAATGTTTATTTCGACTATTATTTGTTAACATGATATTCATATACAGAAGAAATAATAAGATTTTCTTACCTGACATATTGCAGCCAGAACAATAACAGACAGACATGCGAAGACGTTCATGATCAAGTCTAATTCGCTGAAGGGATACGTCAGCAGATTTCAGCAAGGAAATACTTCAAAATTCTTATCTACCAAGTGCGTGACCTGCATAACTTTGGACGTATGAGCATGTGCAATGACCCCTTTTTTGTCTTATCTCATACATTCATATGCTTTACGTAAAAATATACCTAGATATCTAGTCCAAATAACTACAGCATATTTCGTCTTCGTTAAGTATACAAGAACAGCAATGAAATGCTGACACATTAACATAATCTTCATTCAAACTCAAGTGTAATGACACCAGGAGAAATTATGAACGTAATGAAGATTTGATATATATATATAAGGATCAATAATTCCGGAAGGGTAAGCGTCTTCTGCTTCATCGAAGACATCAGCCATGTAAATCTTGGTCAACCCAAGTTAGTAATGTCCAGTTCCCAATGTAAACAAGAAGGAATCACTGTCATTTTTATATCACACCGGGAAATAAATTAATTCTCAATGAGATCAATCTAAACTTCCTCATGATATTGATGTTGTGATTTGTCAGTTTTCGACTTCTTGATATCTTGAACAGGACCTTGCATATCGAATCACATGCGACATATAAACACCATGGGTCCTTGATGCGAGGTTATTGCTATCAAACTAGAAAAGGCACTATAGGAACATTGACACCAGCACGCTTATCATACAACTTGGTGGGAAGCAGCTACTTATGTAAGAAAAGAAATGATTGAGGTAAGTAAATGATGTTGGAGAGTCATTACTAGTCACATTCTGACATATATTATGGCCATGGTCAAGAAATTTCCTGTTACTTAAAGACAAGATATCATCATTATGTCTGGAGGTGAAATTGAAAGAAGAAGTATGAACATAAAATATGTCAGCCTAGAGACTACCACCCAACAGATGTTATTTTATGATTTCATCCTTCGTGTATTTCTTATTTAATTTGGATACATTTTTCACGAACTACGCTTCAGTTCACCAACATATATTTGTAAAGCGCTCAGAACAAAAGATCGAAGAAGTCTTCCTGTTTAACTTTTATTAAGATGTTAGTGATTGTACTGTATTGAGATAACAAAAATAACCACATCTACCATATATAGCCAGTGAACATGAATTTCACAAATAATCCTCTTACCTGGATTTTTTTTTACATTACTTACGACGTAACCAACATAACGCCCTATAACTACAACATTAAAGCAGCACATCTTGTTGCAGTGATCTGGAATACTAATAAGAAATCATTAACACTGAAACACGAAGTTAAGTAACAACTATGTACACAAAACCAGAATAATAAATAAAGCAGATAAGTCGCATTTTCTGCTTGATATACTTTGGCGATGTTTTCTACAGCTGTTAGTATGTATAAAGTAAGAAATTGTCAATAACATGTCAAGTCTTTCACTTAAACACTGGTAGCGTCACTGATGCTGACCAAGACACCAGTATGGATGCTTGTCATATTTTCGGTCTTCTGTTGCTCATGACGATACAATCGGTCTGGTCTGAGAAATGGAAAAGTGCTAATAGAAACTGCAAACGTTGTAGCTGGTTCAAACCTAGATGTAACAACGAAAGCGACGATTTTATCAAGTCGAACTGTTACCAAGGTTTATTTAAAACCAAAGAAAAACTACATAAATATATAGACGGTATTAATTATGCTTGCCAGCATGGCCTCGAAATACGTAATTTCCTGGTGTATGGCGAAAGAGATTGTCCAACTTGTAAAGTGATAAAGAAAGATGGAGAGGAAAATAAAGTGTTTAACACTGGAAATGATCGAAATGCATTTCTTACTTCTGGAAACGTTGGAAACCATCCTTGCTGTGTTACGTGAGTTTGTTTATCTGATAATATTACATTACAATTACTTGACTACAATACTCATATACATGTATTAGATAAACAGATGGAGTCAATCTACGTATGCAGAAATAATTCAAAAGCAACATTTTCCCCTTGTTTTATGCATTTGACTAAATTGAAATAGCGCAATTATTCAATAATGAACGCCTAAATGTTTTTTCCTTAATGTGGAAATATAAAATGTATAGGATACAATATCCGAGGCATAACCAATCATATCAAAAAGAAACCAGCAAATGAAAATAATATTCTCTTATCACCTGTTCTAAAAGCAAACTGGAATAGTTGAAATGCATCCTATATAAAATAAAGCTCTGTTTTAGTAATCAAAGATTTTATTAATCCATTGTTCATTTCATAATTTACTACAGAAAAATAGATAAAAAGTAAGACAAACATCATGTATATACATTGTCCTAAAATCCAGTGGAATTTGTGAGAACTAATAGCATAGTTTGTTGTAAATTTTACTATCGCTATTTTTTATGTAGTAGACGAATCTTTCTCAAAGTTTATAGAAAGGATTCCCTCGGCCTTTTTCAATTTAGGGCTGATCACAAAAATGGATATGAAGCTCTCTTGGATTTTGACTTTGATAATGTGTTATTACTATTCATTGCGAAGTACTGGATGTTTTAATTAAGTCTGATATGCAGGTTTCCCTTAATTTTCTAATGTGCCCTTATCTTATAGTGGGACTTATCAGAAGGGAAACATTATTATTGGTGGGAGGACATTTTTATCTAACTGTTACAGACTGTTACTACAATTCTTACAGAAGTCATTCATAGATATTTTCCGGATTCCACTATATTTATGTACGTATTTGTCCCTCGTTGTGCTTGGGATTGACCAGAAGAACACAATAACTTACAGTCGTCCATGTTGGAATTTTAAAATGAGTTTTGTTTTTGATATTCATTGTGAAGTAAAAGATAAAGATAACTCTCATATTTCATTTGTGGGTTCCTCTTAGTCCCTAGTATTATTTTAAGATTAATTCGTTTAATTTTAAGACTGAGTTTAAAGAGCTTTCATTATATTCCTCCTCGAAACATTCTTGTTAAATGTTATTAAAATTATCTGCTAGTTCCTTTAGCTGTCCTTTGAATGTAGGTTGCCGTTGTCCCGTCATCACATTATTCATCTGTTTACTAATGGTGCGGATATAAGAAAAATATCAAGCATATCAAAACCAGGATCAATGGTGTACGCAAGGATCCCTCTTGGATCTGTTGTGTATACGCTTTTCCTTATTGTAAGGCTCTGTAAAATGACAACTTCTTAGTCTCGTTTCATTCTCTATTTCATGGAATCAAACACATGTAAGATCATATTTAAGGCGGATATAGGATCATCACTGGAAACAAAATTTTATTTTGGAACTTTGATTTCATGATTCCAGTTTGAAATTCTGAAATTAAATGTGAAAAGGGGGAAAACGAGTTCCAATAAAATCTTAATTTAATTTATTAGCTTACGTGTAATGAACTGGGAACAACAAATTTGCAGGTCAACAAAATCGGAACTCAAACTGAAAAATCCATCAAACAAACAGGAGCAAAAGGCATCTTTATTGGCAGTCCCTTAATAGAGGGAGAAAAGACAATTCTATTTCTTCGTCGAAACCGCTTCACAAGCCTTAACTTGTTAATGTAATGTTCTCAAATAAAAACCGTGTCAATAAGATCCCGGAATATTTAATCAGCTTTGTTTTGAGCGTTGCCTAGAAGAGTTTGGGGCTTGGATACATGCATTTCTGTTAGAAGCAACGTTTGCCACCACGAATCGCTAATCTATTTCTGAATATGTTATAGGAAATACACACTTGTATCGCCGACTAGATTGATAGACCCAGTTACCGGAACCTCATATACTGTTGCCTTGTATAATGGTGCATTTCAGTGGATCTGGTTCGGAAGATGTGAGTAAGTATCCATTGTTGATGACAAATAGTGTTAATTACATTAATGTAGTATCCCATCAGTTTTTCCTGCAAGGTCTTTATTTTGAAGGTCCGTCCGTCTGTCCGTCTTCTTGTCTAGTGCATATCCCATTTACTCTTTCACATAAAACACACTTGTTTTTATTTTTTCAACCGAAGACCTCTTGATCTTTGAAAGACTGAGTGTCGTATAATAAATTCGGGTCCAAAAACCAGCCACACAGGGTTTTGGTCTTTTTTCTTTGTGTCATGCGCAATTTGAAAATTAATTCTCCTTTTGTGATGAGATTGACTTGCAATATTCACGGCCTTCAAATCAATCCAAATTCTTTCGTTCAACCCATTCTCATCATATCATCATACAAAGGATATTCGTCCCTCGTAACAATAACTATTTTATAATGACCGCTACGTATTAAGGGTATTTTATTTTATAAGCACATATTTATCCTATTTACTCATGCAGATACCAACACACGGAAAACAAATTTATTGTGGAAAAAATTACCACAATGTCACATTTTGATTAGTTTGATAATGCTTATGTACATTATAATTATTAATCTTTATCAAACTATATTCTGAAAATCTGGGGCGAATTTGATTACTTTTGATCAAAGTTTACTATTAAACAATTGTATGGTTTCTCTCTCCTTACATAGTCTTTGAAGAATATGTCCATACGCCCAGATCAATGTTAATATGGTCAAACTCATGGACAAATGAACAGCTGAATTCGGTAGTTCCACTGACTCCAACTTGTGTAGGAATTGTCATATACAACTATATGCATGGGAAAGAATATTTCATATGCAGATGTACTTCATTGTGACGTCATTTTAAGATCTAATTCTGACGTAACAATATACTATTGAAGTAATGCGAAAAATGTTTCATGGATATTGTGCATTGAATAACATGGCAATCATGTTTTAATTTTTGATTTTGTGAACTGTGATGCCATAACTTCATAGCACCGTATTATGCTTTATGACGTAACCACATAAAGAAATATTTACTTAGAAAATTGCCAATTTAGATCAGAAATTTTAGTAAAAGGGTTTAATGTGATAAATATAATTCTTCATTCGTTTCCAAGACACCTTTTATGAACCTCATATCCTCTCTTCATATTATGTTGAATCTAATCCAACGGCTATTTTTTTTCAGGAACAAGGGCGCCACTTGCTACAACGGTGGGACATGCTATGAACTATGGGATTATCCGACAGAAATACTGGTGGAAAACCCGGATAATAACCCGCCTTATATATTTAAAGAATATCACTACCCACGACAGTGTGTGTGTAGCCAATGATGTCACTGTAACACCACCCTGGTGTGCTTAGCCTGACAACCGTTTACAAGCGATGGACCAGACAATCCATATCGTCCCGTTAGTCCGAACTCGAAAACTTACGTGAGCTTGTAAATACTGCTTAATGTGATGGGCATTGGTTTGTCATACAGTGCAGGAGGATATCGTTTATATTAATACTAATAAATAACCTTTACAAAGGTTACAACATGATTGATGTCACATTTACAATAGTAAAGGTACACCTATAAAGGTGTGTGAAAAACGATTTTATATTCAGATGCTCCTTAAAGGAGAAGAATCTTTGAAACCAATAATAAGATATGCTAAAAATCTCGTGATTTACACTGTACGTTAGCATGGTTGCAAAATTGTATTCAATTACAACGTTCCTCTTGATTTCATAAATCTATTTTAAGACCAAAAGCAAATTGAAATATTTTTATTATGTCCTAACATCAGGCCAAGCAATCCAGCCAAATATGATTTAAGCTCTTATCAGCATTGACGAGCTCTAGGAAGACAAAACAATTGTATGAAATAGTAACAGTTTGTACATTCATTACTCAGCTCTACAATATCTGCTTTTAAATTGATATAAATGTGTCATTATTTTGTGTCTTTTAATGGAGAAAGTTGTAGAAGATTTACTTTTAAATTTGTCTGTCAGACAATATTCAGGAACTATTAAAAAAAAGGGAAAACGAGCAGACGTATTGAAAACTATGAGTTACACAGAAAGAAATAATTGCGAAAAATTATATATGAAGTGGTCTGCAACACGTGACATTTCGGTCACGTGAAAACTTGGGAGTCAACCAATCACAATAATGGCATTCGTAGGAATAAAATGATAGTAATAAGTTTTTATTAAATTCCAAGATGATGTCATTATTAACCCTGCTCTACGGCAATTAGTGGAGCTGCAGTTGTTGTTCGGTTGCCGACGCCATGTTCACAGACTCCGTATCCAGGGGGGATGTTTGATGATTCGATAGCGAGGCTCAGATGATCCAGAGATTCGCAGTGATACCCTATTGAAAAAAAAACCGGATATGACGTCAGCAATGAATTCGCAGTAAAACGGTCGAAGATAACGAATCATAAAACATATCTAAAATCATTGTTTCGACAAGTAACACTCACCATCAGCACACCCACATGATGAATATTCATGACCATTGAGATGGCAGCGCTGTAGATAAGATATGGTTCTATGGGAACACGTATGACGGCGTCCATCATACAAACAACACCCGTCATCGCAATCCGCGTCAGTCACACAGTGAGTTGGGAGAGGGCCAAACAGGTCATCGAATAGTAAAGCCTGAAACAAAACGAAATTCCGTTAATTAAATCAAGATTCAGCATACAACAATAATGACATAAGGAACAATATATGATACATTTAGTTGATATTTATACATATGAGTTTTATATTTTGGAAATACTAACAGGTTTTGATTGGTAAACAATAAAAATCCAGTGGTTCTGAATGTACCATTGTTACGACACCATAGGATTTTAGAACTTTCCAGCAGCCAAAAAAATACAGGTGTTGTATTGCAGGAGCTGTACCAAGACATAACTGGCGGTCATATGAACGTGTTAATTCATTCCAATGATGACACGGCTCAGAATATACACGTTCTTGACCTTTTAAAATCAATATATATTTATAGAATACCTCCCAATCTGTTTTCTTACATCTAAATCGACCAATTAAATTTCATTTCCAACAGTCGCCTTATATATTGCAGCAATTTAGAGCCCTAGTATCACTAACGAGTCCTGGCATGACAGAATAGCTGTATGATGTAACTTAGTTCAATATTTGCCTATGGTGTAACTATTCCAAATTTGCATCGAAACGTGCGGTCATTTTCTTGTGTGCATTTTGTACAATCTTATATCCGGGTCTCAAGAGAAACGGCGGAACGGCACGGACGAAGTTTTAATTCACACATATATTTAAGAAAATCGCATTTTCGTGCAAATAAAAAGATGCATTCTGTACATATTTTCTATATATTCATTAACCTTAGGGCGCTGCATCAATCTTCCGTCAACATTTCTTCCTAATTCAAACGGTTTTGACTAAATATGGTTAGAAATATCCCAGGGAGTGTTAGAACCAATTTTTAGGATGGGTCTAGCCTTAGTTGCCTGAAGGACGGACAGAATTTAAAAGGTTCTTTTAAATCTTAAACATCTGCAGGAATCATAGAAATTTGTTCATATTTAATAGGAAGTATTCTTGGGGGCAGGAGTCTGTAAAGATATTTGTGTTTCCCTCTCAATTTCAATTGAGTAGTGTCTAGTAGGGGAAATAACATATCTTTAAAGCTTTTCCTCTAGCATAACTGAAAGATTTTTATCAAATATGGTCTAGAATATTCTTGGATGAAGTTGAATTTTGTATATACAGAAATTTAAGGAATTCAAAGAGTCTTAAATAGATTACAGATTACACCGTCGATATCTACGACATCGTTCAGGGAAGGTACTATTGTAGAGTTCCGAATGTTGAGAAAATACTCCACGTGTTGAGAAAATACTCCACGTGTTGCGAAGATGAACGTACAAGAAATAATGTAGATATTATCCGAAAGACACATTCAATATACATTTTTTTCTATAGATAGATTTAACGAATATTTTTATTTCTCTCACATTTAAAACAAACCATTGGACATGATTAAAACTTCCAATTTCAGATAACCGCGAAAAAAACTTGTAATGCATTCAATTCTTAAGCATGATGTCAGTGATTTGTTTAAACATTATATGATATTTATATGAAGACAAATACATTATCTGACAAGACAATACTCGGGACATGTATATTATACCTGACTTAGACAGAAGACGGACAGGAGAACGCAGACTATAGTGAGCTTCATGTCGACCAGTTGTGAGTCAGGAATGAAATGTAAAGATCTCTTCGATGTGATCACTTGTGTGAGAATCACACAGCTGTAAAATCGTAATCACATGGCCTTATCTGGTCGATGTATGGAGTCGAATCGTGATGTTTTCGTAATCATTGAACTTCACACAAATCGAGATACTTTTGTAACAAACCCGTGGTTCAAAAAAATCCTTAAGATTAATAATATTCTTAAACTGAGGAAAATTCCTTAACTTTAAAACACCATGCAAATGCCTGGCTTACATGTCGTAAACTATAAAATCTTAGAACGAATGTGAATATCTAACAAATTAACATTTATTTCATGAATTCTTCAAATTAATGAAGATAACGATTTGAAGTGGACGTTATTAGTATAATGCATAGAAAATTATAATCTAGATAAGAATTCAATTTGATAAAAGTTTTTAATTTCAAGAAATTTCCTTACAAAGAAAAAATACGTGAAACTTACTTCTTGTTTACTGAAACAAATTCAATTTCTGAAGTTTATAGGCGCTTTAAACAACATGCAAATACAGTCATATAAACAACAGATATTTTACAAAGGCCACAATACAGTATACGGAAATTGTTTTCACAGAGACAATTGAATTCCGGAGAGGGAGGGGTAGGGGGGGATGGATCCTGGCGCTCATCATTGTAGTTTTTTTCTTCCCTGTATATGATCCTTCTTTTATATTCTTCCCTCAGTTTTTGCTCTTAATCCTGTGCAATGTTAAAAGTCCCCTGATGAAATAATGAAAATGCATGTACGTGTAATATTTGTAAAGATGACAGCCTATAGGTCACGTTTTTCAGATCAGATCTAAAATCAATATTACGCAAAAAGGGACCAAAGGGGATATTGAAATGGAATTTGAGAACGATTTATCCAGTACTTCTCAAGAACAAATATAAAGACAGTTGCTTACAGACAGAGGATAGACCACACACATAAAGCAACATGAATCTAATGAGTGTGGGCTAAACACTGTATCTACAATGAAAATGACTTTGAAAGGATAGCATTTTTGGCTTCGTCACAACAATAATGTAACTAATCATATTTTAATTTCAAGTAATGTCAATATCTAAAACGGAGAGGTGTGGCAGCAATAACAACGCTGCCACCTGGGAAATTTAGGAGCGTTGATTTAGTGATGTTAATGGTACAGTTTCTTATAGCATATTGATAGTAAACTGTTAATTCTGGTGGTTAGCTGATATTTAGAAAGACAGTGATACAGAATATGTCTTTTAAGCTAAAAGACCACAGTCAATCACTGCTACTGGTGTAATTTCGGAAAGGAAACATTATATTATCAAACAGTAACTGACAAATAACTTAAAGAAAGAAGAATAGTTACCATCAGTATAAAACATGTAGACAGGAAAAATCACAAATGCAAAACACAAGATACACAAAAAATCATCTTATTCACTTTATTTACAAAACAATCATTCTTCACAGACAGTTACTCTAGTTTGCTCTCTTTTTCTCTGTCCAATTTATGGAAGTACAATGATCACAGTGGACTGTTCAAATGAAACTTGTAAGACATCAATGTAACTACTGTGACTACAATGACTGTGTGTTTAAAAATCATAACAGTGACTGACATGTTAACTACCCTCAAAAGAAAAACACTGATTCACTTGTTTATAATACTATCTTACAAATCAATGCTGTGACGTTTACAAATATGTAAACAAATTTAAGTCGTAATTCATAATTATACATTAACAATACTTTGGAAAAGTTTGTGAAATAAATCAAAAGCCATGACAAATTCAATCTAAATAATCTGAGTTAAAGTTACCTCCCCCCACCCTCCCCTTAAAGATTTTCTTTTCTATTTGTTTATTATTTTTTCATTTACCCTTCCTTTACCTAGATTTATGAAAGAGTTATTTCCCTTAAGAATAAATCATATCTTGCACAGAGGTGTTTGAGTTACCTCCCTTCACAATATTCACGTGTGTGTGTGTGTTTGTGTGTGTATATGTGTGTGTGTGTTTCTTGTTTCTCTTCATATCCAAACCTCTTTCTAAATATACAGAATTTATCATTAATATGTTTCTTATCAGAATGGCTGTTGTAATATTGCAGTAATCACTGGAGAATCTGAGGAGAAAGGTGATACTCTGGATTAACTGATGACAAAACTAACATATGTGAATATTATTGGTGAAATGTTAAGCATGAAATGATTATTTCAGTCTTCACATTTGCTTGGCCTCCTATCATAAGAGTCACTATCTCACAAATATTCTTCTTAGGTGTATAATTACACAACAGCTGGTATGATCACAAGCTTAAATATAAATGAAGATATCTAATTATGTACGATGATACACTGTACATAGCTTGCATGATAATAATAATCAATGGTTATCAAATTCTAACGTACATGTCTTGCTCCAAAAATAAGACACCAACTGCAGGATTCATCAAGATTTGTTTAAAGCAATGGACACATCAGAGAATATTTTAACATAGGCACAGAACATGTATTCTCATTTTACAAAATAATTGAGACTTTTAAGTAATACTACCCAGAGATTTAACTTCTGAAAATATAAAAAATTAAAAAGAGCAGATGTTCTTTACACTTAAGATTGTACATGAAAATCCATGCATATATAAATCAACAAGTGGTAAGATTATTGATGGTGCTTTTTAGAATTCATACTTTAGATTTAAGGATATATAAAAAATGTCATATAGATACACTGAAAATCATATGTTTGCAATATTGTAATAAAACATTTTTACAATCATGATGTTTACTGTGTAACATTTAAACTGATTTCATGGCAATGCCCTTGATTTTTTTTTAGATAAAAATCCCCACAAATGTTCATAAAAAAACATTTCTAAAATTGAAATCCTGAGAGTCATTACACTGTGAAAATTGAATTCATTGAAATTAAGGTGATACATATACAAAAGTATAGCAACCAAGTTGGTTTAAAGTGACAAATACATTCATATTTCTGAATATATCAAATACTTCGACACACAAGGTAAACAATGCTCTCAACATTACTGTAACCATTTCAGTCATGAAGCCTTCATCGAGTATAAACTGCTGTCACAGTATATAAATCTAATACTGAATCAATACAGGTATCCATATCTGTTCCACAACATATCTCTTCTTCGAGTTCCATGCACTAAATGGTAAAACCATTCTGATTTCAAACACACATTTGTTCAATGATGATGTTGAGGTCCCGTTATCCAAGCAGTAATTTAAATCCTATTACCAGTATATTTATTCCAATCAGAGGTACTGCAATTAAAATAAAGATCATTAAATTAATACAACATAATTTTAAAAAAATACAAACAAAATCATAGCCATCAATATCTTACTCCTGTCCAAGTATAAACACATAATACTTCGTATTTTAACAATTCCTTCTTATCAAATGCATTTTTCTATCAAAGTCTTCACAGCACTATCGTTTCACTAGATACTGAATTGCATCTTATTTCTGAAGTTGAGCAATATATTGTGCATATGTATGTCTAATAAACAACATATACATCACTAATGAGAGTTATCCCCTTATAATGATAAACAATAGATTGTTATATTGTTGACGAAAATTTTAAATATCAGTAACCCTTTTTATACATAAATTCAATAATTACTATGAGACCATGATGATTAAAAAAAGTTGGCCACAAATATTTGTCAGACACACATGTAAATTATTTCGTAGATTGTACTAGTCCTTACAATACAATCACACTTCACTATTACATACATGTATAGATATCTAAACTGTACTTGCACTTCTAACTGATGAAAATGCCCCTAATTTTTAAAAAGTAATTTATTTGTTTAAATTGATGCATTCAAGGAGAAAAGCTAGTCAACTGCAGTGATCCAACGCGTCAATCACCTTTTGCCATTCAATTGAGAATCAAACCTGCGTTACTTTGGTGAAAGCTAAAACCACTTTTTTTATTACACATAGCAGTTTTGAATGAGATATATACAACCAATACCACATACTTCTCATCACAGTCCTTATGGAACGGATCAAGTTCAGTAGTTGAGTTTTCATGCTGGGGTCTTCACCGAATCCCCTTTGGTCTGTACCCCAGCCGACTAAAAAAAAATGATAATGAATTCACATGAAATAGTACAATAGTGTCTTTAAAATGATAGATAGACTTCTTATCTATTCCTTAACTTAAATATTTGCTTATGAAGGGGACCTACATGTATACATGAACACCATTGTATAAGTTGAGTACAACCCTGCATTAGGGCACAACCTCGCATGTGGGTAGTCCTGCATTTAATAAAGTTCTTTGAAATGTTTGCAACAAAAAAGAGCACCATCTTTTTAATATGACTCAAAAGTCAACATGACAATTTATATACATGTAATTGAATAGGAAATATCCATTTCTGTCTTCTTACTTAGGGTTAAAATGATAATTGATATCACTGACTTGGAACTCCATTGACTACAGTGTAAATACAGTGGAAGCATTTAGTGCAAAAGTCATAGGTAAGCATTAATTTAATGCTGATCTATTTTTAGCCACATTATAAGCAGTTGATAGGGCATGGAGATGATAAAATTTGCAATTTTTACAAAAAACCAGACAATCATATTATTCATTTTTGTGTAAAAATGTACATCCTTTCTGTTGCAAATATTTAGAAGAACTTCAAGTGTTTATATTACAAGTGACCCTGCATATGAGTAAGTTATTTATTATTAAAAAGTGGCACATATGTAACTATCCCTCAAATAATGCAGGGCTATTATTCATATGTGAGGTTGTGCCCAACATGTTGTATGTATGGAGTCACCTTGACACCTGAATTTTCTTTTAAGTTCCTGGGTTTCCTATTAACATCTACACACAAATATATATATACATATATATTCATAAGACTGGAAACCTCAAGTCCAAATACATAATTCAGTAGTGAGAAGTGTAAACCCTAGAAAAAATAAGTGAACTTAAACACTATGGATTTGAGAGGATCTCTAAACAGTGACACAAGGACAGATTAACAGGTACTGGAGCACCAGCAAAACTGGCTATATAGGCAGATTTGATATTGTAGCAAAATCTGGCTATTCATATATAAGGCAAATGTAAACAACTGAGCCATACCTGGTCATGTTCATTTTTTGCACACAAAAATGGACAATGCATCTAGATGGTAATTTTTTTTTTTTTTTTTTTGTCATAAGACATCATTTCCTGTGAGTTGGTTGAATTTTGATGTGAACATTTTTGGTACTTGCATTCCTTTGTCCTCACATTCCAATGGTGAGATAGGAAATTTCCTTAATTTGTGATTAAAACACCTCACTTTTCACATTCATTGCAGGTTTTTACACAAAAACATCAGGTTGATAGCGTATCTGTGGACTGAATCTGTATCAAAGTGACACTTATCGGCTGACGACAAAATGAGTGAATGACAACATATATATTGGATGGACTCAGTATAGATTCTGTTACTAAATAACGTGTGTATGTGGATACTGAAAATGTGTAATGATAAAAATAATAAAAAAAAAAATAACAAATGAATAAAAAAAATGAAACTGAGGAAATACGCCAAAAACATCCATTTCACTGACATCTGGATAACAGAAATGAGACCGGACTCACCTGGATGTTTACATTTGCCCTATATACGTATACGTACATATTTGACTCTATAGCCAGATTTGTCGGTGCTCCAGTTCCTGTCTAACATGTCCTCTTATTACAGAGATTTTCACCTATGAGGTAAGACATATTGGTATCGATTTAATGCATTGCATCACTATTTTGCATGCGGATCAGATATCGATATATATCTTATTGATATCAAGCTGTTGACGTGTTTACTTTCAATCACTGGTCGAAGTACGTAGTAAGGTAGATTTTTGTAGTGTTACACTTAGTGTACAGCCGTTGTACCTGAGAACAGATAAACTTACATTTAGCGAGGAATCGTTCTTCATGTAGCACACATACAGCATTTAAGCACAATATAACGGCCTCTATCAGCGAATATAAACCAAAAGCCATTTTGACAAGTGGCAATTTCTTACGAATCGCTGTCAATTTATTCTTTGAAAGCACCACTTTTGGGTACAACCGATATAAACGCACGAGTGATTGCGATGTATTACGGTAAGGCGATATTCCGAACGTTTATCGCGGATAATAGCAAAATACGTCTTGTTTATGAGCTCTGTATATTAAGGGAAATAGCATTAAATATCACTACATTATGCATATATTGTATTCAATTCTTTTCATCTTTTTTTTTCAGACAAATAAGCAGATACGAAAATATTTTAAAGATAAGTTTAAAAAACGTTTAGGTAAGTTGTCTTTGTTTTGTATGTTACCAAGGAACTATAATAAAATTGGAAATTTAAGACACTGGCCGTATATGTTATACGTTCCCGATCTTATCGCTGTTCATGAACGTATACATTGTAAGCTACCCAGGCTTAACATCAATGCCCATAATGTTGGCGTGGTACCGGTATCTGTAGGCTTAAGCCTATTAACATTCGGAACAAATACTCAAACATGCAGAATATACCTTCTCCTGTGGTACAGCTTTGTTGAAGTGTATATTCCAATTAGCAGGGTGATTTTTAAAGGTACTTTTCACGTTTGAAGCTTCATAGTAAAATATCTCAGAGTTTTCAAGCAGGAGAAGGAATATGACAAGTGATGTCCCTGCCAGGTAATTAATGATTTTAATATACTATTAGTGCAATAAAACCCACTGTTTTCAGAGATTTGCGTTCATGAAGAATTCGTTTTTCACAATTTTTTGTAAAGTTATTTAGAAATGTTCATAATTGGTCGCCGCCGTTTCATGACAACAATAACTGCATGGTCAAATGATTTATGAGACTATAATTCCAATTGGAACAAAAATGTCTAGATCATGATTTATCCTGCAACTAGCACCGTCATTGTTGGAATAAAACGTTCTGTTTCGGCAGTTATGAAAAATAGCTGTCTTTAGCACGTGCATGAATTCTGCGGAATTAATTTCTGAATTAACGTCTAAAGAATATTAATAACTGTTGAAATAAGTGATTTTATATGTTCTAATGAACAATACTGTTATATTACGTTGATGTTTGGGACTATATTTCTGCGCGGGACAATTGTTTTGGCGTACATACGTCATCAAGAAAAATTCAGCGTAACGTCAACGTCAGTGTCTAACGTCCATCTGACGTTTCCAACGAGAATTTTAGACTATGGTATTTTTCATGATCATTGTAACAAAAGTCATGATTGTTTTCTTCGAACCCGAGATCTCTAGTCTACTAGTCTGAAGCTCAACAGATCGAGCTGAAGAGAGGTTCTCTCTGTCCGAGCGATATAATTGACTACATAGTCCCCCTCCAGGAAAGAACTCGTCCTAGAGATTCAAGTGGTTACCGTGGTAGTCGTGAGAGTAACGCTATTTATTAGTCCCTAATGGACGCCAATGTAACAGAGGTTATTATTTATTGCATTGCCCCACAGGATTCGAACGAGGGAACTTCCGTCTACTAAAGAGAAGTTTTTGCCACATCCATTATTCAATAACCAGCCACAATTATGACCAAAGAGCAGCAAAACCTGGACATTTCTTTGCTATTCAACACATCTTCCGTTATTGCATTATCAATGTATATCATCAATAAATTTTGTCCTGTGTATATGCAAGCCATCACCGCTGACCCAAGTAAAATTGTCACAACCCCCTCTCTTTGTGCGTTGATGCGTCACGCCATGTCACCGTTTCCTTGCATAAAGAAGCGTTTAAACCCATATCCTGAAACATGAGTTTGCTGATATATATCAGATACTCAAAGCCGATAACATGAAGGCAAAAGACAATGGAAATGTCCCATAGTTGCTAGCGATATGAGAACAAGAACTTTAATGTTGTGAAATCGCGTCTGACTTTATCTGATTAAATAATACTTATAAGCATAATAAACTTGATGTTTATAGAATTCCATGCCATATATAGTTTGCTTTTAGCTTGAATTAGAGTAATGGAAGTGAATATGATTAGACCTTATTAATAATGCTAGCATAGTATGAAAACATTTTCCTTAATTTAGCAATTAAGGCTATAAAAATATATGACAACATTTTAACGAGAGATGAGGAAATTAAAAGGATGTTCACACAGTGCGAGATTGCTTTTCCCACATCCATTATTCAACCAGCCACCTTTGGCTGGATGCTATTCAACACATCTTCCGTTATTGCAATCAACTTCATCAATAAATTTTGTCCAACCCAAGCCATCACCGCTGACCCAAGTAAAATTGTCACAAGTTTGTGTAGTTGAGCCCAGACCTATCCATAACGATTTAAACCCAGAGCTGTAAATGAGAGCGATATATATCAGATACTTTACAGAATGATCCCATAGTTGCTAGCGATATGGTAACTCTATCTGTCGTGGGGTTCAGAAAGACAACAGCTGGCGCGCTGTGATGCACCCCATGATGAGACTACGTCATCATTTCATGTAGCGTAACATGTCGCAAGTTGATAACATCCTTAATTTCGAAACATATATATGACTTTAACGATGAGGAAATTAAAAGGATTCACAGTAACTAATTTTTCTTGTCTTTTTAATTACAGTTGTGGGATCGCACAGTTACATGTTGTGCGATGCGCGCAAGAAGTTTTTCGTGCGTTGTGCGTTAACGCAACTGTATTTATATATAGTTCAGGAACGTGAAAGAATACAGAATACGATTAGGTAGTATGAATACAAAATACCTTAACATTTCACCATACTAGCATAATGGTCCAACTGACATAGAGGCATACACTGTTACGCAGCTATGCTATTTCTTTGAAAACTATTTAAATTAATAAGATTGCAGCACAGAAATTCTTGTTCTTTCATCACTTATCGGCAACCCGTTTTGTGACTAATGTGGAAGAAATTTGAGAAATGGACATATATACAACTGGTGGAAACATATTTATATCTTTAGTACACAGTAAGCACATAGTTCTTATAAACTATTTATCGTTTATCGCATATTGCAAGTCATTGCATTTTGATACTTAATTCAATTAGTCTATTTTCAATAAAGTCATGATTACGTTCTTAAAAAACCAAAAACAAAGATGGCGAATTGACGCGCAAAATTGACATCAGTGACATGATTACTGTATGGTGAAGAAACTGGATTTGCATAAAATTTACCTGGATATATTTCATAGAGAAACCTAGTTCTAGTTCAAAATAACGTTTATCATTATTTTTGATGTTGCCAGATGCAACGGACAGACTCTTAGTTAATACCAAGATGTTTGAATGCAATACTATTTGTTAAATCGATTTCAGGATAAGATATACACATAAATGTTTAATATACAATAAATATTTAATATCAGTTACTTGTTTTTATAAACTTACTTTTATTCACATATTATCAATGAACTGGGACAAAAACAACAAGGACAATATTAACACGTCAATAGAATCTTTTTTCCCAGACCAACAACATTTCTGTTCAAATCAGACAACTGTGAGCGGTGGTGGCAAAATAATTAAAAAAAAAAAACAATGAGAAGAGTAAGATATCAGTTTCTATGGGGTGCGATATCACTTCAGGGTGTGTGATATCATCTGGGCTGATATCAGACTTATCACACATACAAAGTGCTGTTATCAGTATTAAACATATGATAAATATATATACGATATATGCAATACTTATTCCTATTCACATCAGATTATTGAAGTTTTTGGATTATTACAATATGGCACACATTTAAAATGTACCATACAGCTAGTAAACTACAGTTTGTACACAGGATATCACATGAAAGCATAGTAAAGACATATTTCCAGTGTTGTCTTCAAGTTAAGGTTTTAATTTACTTCGAATTTTTCATAAAACTCAAACTGAAAATACGTTTAACACACATCACACGTATACAAGGTCATCTTTTAACTAAAATTTGATTTGTATGGCTGACGAGTGTAGGACCATATCATACACTAGACCACGATGGAAGCTAAATATGATGTCAGCCAAATTAGAACACTTTTTTGACATAAATTGTAAATATTTTCTGTCATGAATTTTAATCCTGTATTTTTCTTAATATTTCGCGAATAGATTCATCCAGCTTTCATTTCATGCTTTTTTTTCAGATGTCAGCAGCACACGTGTCTATAAGTAGAACGCAGTAATGCATGCAGGTTCAGCAATGCGTTTCAACAGTTAGAGGTACTCAAAATGGAACACTTCTTATATTATGTACATTTAAAGAAATAACTGACTAATCTTGAATAGTTTTCTTCATTTCTTTGAAGTTCACTAACTTTTCCTCTTTTTATTGACAAAGGACATAGTATAAATAGAATCTTAATTTTAACTCAGATTCCATAACACAAAGACAAAATGTAATTTGCATGGAAACAAAAAAGTACAAGGATGATAAGATCAGATGGTCCGGAAGATCTAGCGTTTTCTGCTTCATCGACGATGTAAACTGTGGCCAGTTCATGTGAGCAGTATCAGGATACCAAAACAGAACGAGTATACGACAACGGAACCACTAGGTTTAATAACGAGCCCCCAATACGTCGAACGTATCGAACAGAGAAATAAAATCAAAACAGATGTAGGCAACAGTAACACATTCATCAGCTCTTTTTCAACTGACGAAATATGCACACAATTTAACTGTATTGCAAATCCTTTAGATCATACACACATTGAATCACGTCTGTAAATACAAATTAAGACTAAGACACATAAACAAAAAGTGTATCGAATTTTTGATATATTTATATACATGAGCAAGTTCAATGAAATTAAACAGTCAGAGGATACTCGCTTATTCTGAAATAAGTTGTAATTATATATAAGTATTAAATAAAACAGATTAGTGTTTTTACAATTTCCTAAGCTATTTTTAGCTTTAAAAGTATATGAGTATATAAAAGTAGATCCTATAACATACCTCTTCACTGTTTCGTCATAGATTTTTTTCATTTTTTCCTCACTTTCGATAACAGC